GCTTGGTTTCGTCCTCAAAATATAATTTTATTGTCACAATTTCGTTTAAGACAGATAATAGTTAGAAGGACATTTCCGACAAAGACAAGGAAGACTAGGATGGCCATTTCTGGCTTATTAGCCGTCGTCAGCTAGTCATACCCAACCCAAGTGTTGCCCCAGAAATAGGTGCCCACTCGAGTTTTGAAGCCGCGACATCGTTAGTTAGAAGCCCAACGCTCTGTGCTACGGGCTCGCTGTCTTGTCGGTTTTTGATCGCGAACGCACACTGGTCCGTTACAGGACACACTCGTCTCGCCCTGATGCCTTTGCAGCTCACGCTCGAGTTTACGCCACAAGGCGGCCAATTATATAGGCAGGAGGACATTACCGTCAGGTACTAGGGATACAAATTGGCAATTTCTGGTTTTTAAGCCGCCGTTAGCTAGGTAACAATTTCTGAGGTGATAATTGGGGGCGTTATGACTAGCTGACGATGGCTAATAAGCCAAGAATGATCATCCTAGTTTCCATTGTCTTTGTCGTAATGTCCTTCTGCCTATATCCTAGCCGCCCCGCGGTGGAGACTCGGGTGTGAGCTTCAAAGGCCCCAGGGCGGGACGAGTGCGTCCTGTAACTGATCGGTGTACGCCTATCTGCTACAGATAAAAGTATACTTCTGGTGGAAGATGTGTTGACTTGTGCTTAAATTGCCTTCCAGAAATGGAGGCAGGCGCAGTACCTACTACACTATACTCGCCAAATCTGGATTCATGTATTAGCTTTTATTCTTGCCGCTTACGGCGGTCAAGCAATCGCACATGGCTTTCTACCTCAGAACCTGCACATTTTTCGTTATAGCGCTTTATATTCCTCTACGTACTCTGCAGTTAGTACATGTGCTAACCTAGTGGGTTTCTTGTCTGATCTCTTATGTAGCTGAACACCCTTTATACCATAGTGTATGTATACACCGATTGCAGAGGAGTTGGTGTCTCATTACTATTGCTGTTTTACACTCTTCGCAGACTGAATTCTTTACCCCAGTATAAAAGTCGGCATTGTCGTAAATTAAGTGTACCAGGTAAGAAATTTCGCTTTTTGAAGGAGGCTATTGTGTATATTTTACATTTGACTGAATAATGAATATGCGTCGCTTCATATTTGTGGACTCCCACCGAACTGGCGGGCGCAGGCAAGGCTCTTAGTCGAGTCTGGCCTTCGGATGAGAACGTATCCCTTAGCATGGCAGTAACCGGGGAATTTAAGTTTTTAACCTGTTTGCTGGGTACCGTTTTGTCAGACCGGTATTTTATCCGGGCCTGTTAGTATCACTATCTTCCCAAAAGCAACACTTGACTGCAAGCAAACATATTGCATTGAACGCACTAAGCAGCTTACAGACAGGTTGGATCTTCCATTAGTTCACGGCTTTTTCCGCTCTCAATATTTTTAGCCCATAATTATCAGGAATAAGTGACTTGTTTTCACATTTTTAAACTTAGCAACAAATTAATTGTTCTCTTAGGCAAACATTGGAGAAAGCCTACGCCTTTATCGTATGCAGTATAGGTTGGGGCACAAACCCTGCCAAAGAATTGTAACTTTTTCACCACAGACATATTTTTAACGAATTTTTTTGTGATAGGATGACCTATCCCATTTTCAAACAGTTATACAAAACTCGTAAATTACTTGCACTGCTTTTTTAGTCATCGCCTACGTCATTGACACTACGTACCAGCGTATCTCGAAGTCCCTGCTCATGTCCCTTCTGAACATCAGCTCCGACGAAGAACTCGAACTGGTACTGAAAGGACAAAAATGGCAGCCTTGTCCTCCCTCAACAGAAGATGTTCTGGCCACCGGTGACCAATGGATCTTCATCACCAACCACGAGGCCTCTGTCAAATCCACAAAAATCAAGGAGAAGGTCACCTTTGGTGCCATGGCCTCAATGGCCAATGCCTTCAAACCCTCAGCGGGCGAGTTCTTCATCCAGACCATTCCCAAACAGTCCTCTTGATCCAGGAGTGTCTTCTAATGTCCAAACTGCGGTGTATACTTTGCGTTGTTTTCATCGTGAATGCGCACCTTGTCCCCGTCTCACTAACTCTTCAACTGGGCGTGTAAACGTGCGTGCAAAGTCGGCGGCTAAAAGAGACGTCAGGAGTGAAAGCTGGGATCATGGTTTAATGTCTTTGATGCTTGACAAGAGAAAGTTTGTAGTCATGTTTTACTGTCAAATCCTGGTCTCATCCAAAATTCACGAATTGCTCCATACAGGCGCGGACTACATTAGAATGGCAATTTTCACTAACTGGTATTGCTTCAACACCAAATGCTGGCACACCTGAGGTTTGACTCTAGGTCTATTAGATCATTTAGCACTTAATGCGGTACTGAGTCCAGGCTCTTTTCGCTGACATTGAGCATCTAGTCATATGAGAGCGACGTTCGCTTATCCATCCCGGTTAGCTGTCGGTGGGCCAGATAGAGGTTGGAGACAATAAGCATTCTGCTGGAGTTTGGGTCTAACACGACACTAAGGAGTGAACGAATCTGATGGAATTGAACCGGCAAAGACGATGAAGACCGGAACGGCCATTCCTCTCGCCGTGCGACTGCCTACGAGGGCTCTAGATGGAGCTCCAAGGCACACACACATACACATGTTCTCTGACCAGAATGCCCTACAATTCAGTGTTATAACCCCTAGGATGTATGCAGGTCCAGTAGACCAGTTAGCACTTAAAGGGGCGCCGCTTCCATGCTCTCTTCGCTTATAGTCATGTAAGAATGGTATTCGCTTATCCATCCCGATTGCAAGACAGTGAATGTAACTAAATTTACTAAAAAAACTTAGCATTTGGTGGCCTGGGTAGAGGTTGGAAGCCATCAGCCTTGGCGCATGT